TGTGACCCTGGGCAAGTCACTTAACCCCCTTGCCTAGTCAAAAAAATAAAATAAAAAGAAATAAAAAGATAAGAAAAAGAATTTTAGGAAACAAGCATAAACAAAGAAGAAACAAAAATACTGCTTTTTGCAGATGATATGATGGTTTACTTAGAGAACTCCAGTCAACTAAAAATTAATTTAACCAACAACTTCAGCAAAATTGCAAGGGGTAAAACAAATCCACAATAATTTTCAACATGTACATATATATTACTAACAAAACATAGCAGAAAGAGGTAGAAAGAGAAATTCCATTTTATATAACTATAAAATTATATAAAATACTTGAGGGTCTACCTGCCAAGACACGTTCAGGAACTATATGAATACAATTACAAAACACTGTTTATAGAAATACAGACATAAATAATTAGAGAAATATTAATTGCTCATAGGTAAGGTGAATCAATAAAATAAAAATAATAATGCTACCAGAAATAATTTATCCAGTGACATTTTGTCAAACTAACAAAGGATTACTTTTTTAGAGCTACGAAAAGAAAAAAGAAAGAAATCATCTGGAAGAATAAATGGCCAATGATCTCAAAGAAAACAATTTTTAAGAGTTGGAGGGGCAGCTAGGTGGTGCAGTGAATAGAGCTCTGGCCTTGAAGTCAGGAAGACCTGAGTTCAAATTCAGCCTCAGACACTTAACACTTGCTAGCTGTGTGACCCTGGGCAAGTCACTTAACCCCAATCGCCTCACCAAAAAAAAAGCAACAACAACAAAAAAAAAAGAGTTGGAAGGAAGAAAACTTAGCTCTACTAGGGCTCAAGCTATAGTACAAAGCAATAATCATCAAAATGATTTGGTACTAGTTAAGAAATAGAGAGATTGATCAGTGGAACAGATTAGGAACATGGTTTACAGAAGCAAATGAACACTGTAGCCTAGTATTCAATAAACCCAAAGACCACAGCTGCTAGAGTAAGAAATCACAATATTTGACAAAAAACAGCTGGGGAAAATGGAACTCAATCAAGCAGAAATTCTGTGTGTGTGTGTGTGTGTGTGTGTGTGTATGTATCTCACACCATATACCAAGACAAATTCCAAATGGGTACATGATCATAAACTAATTAAAGGAGCAAGGAAGAAACTACCTTTCAGATATGTGGAAAAAGGATGAATTTAGAACCAAACTAGAGATCATAGAAGATAAAATGAACAGTGTATGTGTGTATGTGTGTGTGTGTGTGTGTGTGTGCATGCACACACACACATATGTAGACACAAAATCATTGCAGCCAAAATTAGAGAAGTGGATAATCGGATGGGGTTCCCCAAAATCCTATTGCACACTTCTTTGACAAAAGTCTCATTTCCAAAATATATAGGGGATTTATATTTATAAGAATTAATGCTATTTCCCAAAGAATCTGAGTAAGCAGTTTTCAAAGAAAGAAATCTAAGGTATCAGTAGAATCCAAGCTATCAATGAAAAAGTGCTCCAAATCACTAATAAATGGAAAAATACAAATTAAAGCAACTAAGTTTCTACCTCATAATCACCATATTGGCAAGGTTGATGAAAATAAATGCCAAATGTTGGAAAACTTCAGGAAAATGGGCATAGCATTGTACTGTTGGTGAAGCTGTGAAGTGGTACAGCTATTCTGGAAAACAATTTGTACTAAGTTGTACATAACCTTTGCCCCAGCAATACCACTAGTAGGCCCACAACCCAAAGAAATCAAATACAGAGGAAAAAGACCTGTATCATATAGGTATATTTATTTATTTATAGCAGCACTTTTTAGTGACAAAACACTGGAAACTAAAAAGATGCCCTTCAATTGGGAAATAGCAGAACAAGTTATAGTATGCTGTATGAAATGATGAATGGATAGTTTTAGTGAAACCTAGGAAAAACTATATGTACTGGTGAAGAGTAAAGTGAGCAGAACCAGGTGAATAACTTACATTATAATATTGTTAAGACAAACAACTTCGGAAACTCTGATCAACACATTGATTAACTATGATTCCTGATGAGAGATGATGAAGCATGCTACCCAACTCCTGATAGAAGGCAGATGGACTCAGGGTATAGAGTAAGATATATCTTTTTTGGACACAGTCAAGGTGGGATTTTGTTTTATTTGATTGCGTTCTTATTAAAAGGCTTTTTATGGGGGGAGCAAGGTGGGAGAAATTGGAATTTTATTTTAATTAATTGGCAAGAAACAAAATTAATTAAGAAATGTATGTGATTTGGACATGAAACTATCAATAAAACTTTAAAAAATAAATAAAGGAAATGGGGAGCCACTGAAACTTCTTGAGTAGGGGGACTGATATGGTCAAGCCTATGTTACAGGAATATCACTTTGGGAACTGTGTAGAGAATGGTAAAGGATGAGAACATTTTCATTTGAGGAGATCATCTAAGCCTTCATGGAGGAGTTGGAGGCTGAGCTGGGAGTTGAAAGATGAAAAGAATTCTGAAGGGCAGTGATAATGAGAGCGCACAAGCAAGCATTGGTATTGGACTGGGTAAATGCTGGGAGGTGGTAAGACTGCATTCAGTCTATTTGGTCTGGAAAATAGAGTGCAGGAGAGGAATAATATGATCATAGGACTACATATTTAGAATTAGAGGGGACCCCAGATGTCATTAGGTCTACCCCTTCATTTTACATATGAGACCTTTGAGGAACAGCAAAATTAAGCTAAAGTCACAAAGATTAGAGTAAGGAATTGAATTCAGGTCTTCTGAATTTTCGTCTCCATTGAACTGACTCCCAATGATTTTGAGCCAGATTATGCAGGGTTTTAAATTTTGGCCACAGGAGCTGGCATTTTATCCTGAAGGCAACTTGGTATTTATTGATATAAACCAATAAAGGTTTTTGAGTATGAGAGACTTGGTCAGAAATGTTCATGGGATTGTTTATTTTGGCAGTTGAGTGAATGATGGATTAAAGAGGGAAGATGCTGGAGGCTGGGAGATCAGCTAGTGTGATACTGCTGAGAGAAAGGATATGTACAACTTAGTACAAATTGTTTTCCAGAATAGCTGTACCACTTCACAGCTTCCTCATCCAGAAGTGAACCAGCATGGGAAATCTTCGGCAAAGACTTAACCCAGCTGAGGTCTAATCAAAGACAGTAAGGAAATTCTAAATTTAGGTGAATGGGTGGATTCCTGGTCATGGTATTTACTCAGGTCTGGGAAAATGTGGATTCTCCCTTTTGTCAGATGGGTGATATGGAAATTGATAAGTCTCATTGACCATGATTTGGGTGCTCAGTGTCAGGTACTTCTAGACCTTCATTGGAATAAACCCACCTCTCCTGACATTCATCCTCTCTTTAATTGTTAACCTGAGTTGAATGCCACCCTCAGGAACACCCATCCTTCCAAGGGCATATAAACTGTGAGCCCACCTCCATGATTGGTCTTTGGCATTCAAGAGTGTCACTGACCCTTTTATTAATAAAATGCTAGCATTATTAATAAAATTATTAATTACCCAGAAATGATATCTCTCAAACTTTTTAAAGGTCCACACTGTATTAGTCCAAGGCAAATGTAATGAGAACCTGAACTAGAGTAGTGGAAATTTGAGTGGAGAGAAGAGGATGACAAATGTGAGAGAAGTTATAATGGTAGAATTGACAGACTTAAGGATGGGAGGGGAGAGAAGGGGGAGCAAAATGCAAGACCCAGATGACTTCAGGGTTTCAAATCTGAGTTACTGGGAGGATAAATAGAGATGGAAACTTGGAGGAGGAGCAGTTTTAGAGAGGAAGATTATGGAGTTCAGTTTGGAATATGTTGGGTTTGAGGTACTTCGGATAAGTGTTATCTATCCCTCAGGCTGGACATGCCAGCCACTTCACAGCAGTAATTAAGCTAGAGAGAGGGAGAGCCCGAGAGATAAGTTGGAACAACTCTTGGTTCAGTTGGAACCAAGGTAGAGAAAAAGGAGAAAGCATTGGAAATACTAGTCCTTAGGGGCCAGAAGGATCAAGAAGCAGATTGAGAACGAGTCATAAATGTATTAAAATCAAGAGGGAGTATCACAAAAGTCAAGAAGGTGAGAAAATAACCAGGAAGAGGGAGCGGTCAACAGCATCAAACAAAAGGTGCATCAAGATCCAGAGCGAGGAGGAGTTGGGGGCTAAGCTCTCAGCCTTTCTCAGTCCATCAAAATGAACAATTAAGAGGCCATAGTGATCTTGGAGTGAGCAATCTGAATAAAATGCAGAGGTCAGAAGCCAGATGGCAAAAGTTTGGCGAAGGAACAGAGGGTAAAACGGCGGGGGCAACGAACGAACACAACTCTTTCTAAAGGAAGGAGACGCGACAGGCATGAGTACATGCAGTTAGATAGCGACAAGAAAACCGACTTCATCCCCTAAGGCTGAAACAAAGGAGGGCGTCAATCAGAGGTTTCTTAAACCCGCAGCCCGCGCCCAGTTATCCCTAGACTAGCGGAACACGTGACGTAGGCGTGGAACTACATTCCCCAGAATCCTTCGAGCCACGACCCATTTCTTTCACGGGACTCCATCTCCTGAGCCCGGTACTTAAGCGGTGCCGCCGGTGTCCACGGCTCCCGAATCCCGCAGCTTCGGGGCGGGTCGTGGTGGAGCCGGCCACCCCCCGCGGGGCCTCGTGGGAGTGGGCTCTCCTCGGCCCTTTGTTCTCGCTCCCAACGCAGGCACCTCCGGGAGGATGGGTGAGCGCGCGAGAGAGCCCCCCGGACTCTGCCCGGCTGGAGGGCGGCGGCCAGGCTGCCAGAAGCAGCGGAGTCCGGGGAGGGAAGGGGCGCGATGAGTGTGTATGAGCGTGCCCTGCAGGGCCTGGGGGAAAGGGAAAGGGTGTGTAAGGGCGTGTATGAGCGCCCTCGCTCGTGTGAGCTGCGTGCTCTGCAGGGCCTGGGGGGAAAGTGTGTTTAATACCAAAGTGCCTTATGGGGGTTGAGAGTGTGTGTGTGTACGTGTGCACGCCTGTGTCTGTGTCGGAGCAGTGTGTCCTGCAGGGCCTGCGGGGGTAGGGGTGTCCGTGTCTCTGTACGAGCATACCCTGCAGGGCCTGGAGGAGAGGTGGGAAGGGGGGCGGGGCATCTGTGTGTATTTGTGTTTGTCTCTGGGTCTGAGTGTGGCTGCAGGGCCTGGGGGAGGACGAGAGGACGAGAGGACGAGGTGGGGGCTGCGTGGGGCTGTGAGCCTTTCTGATTTAGAGAATGTGTTTGATGGGGAGGGGCAGGAAGACTGTGTGTATGTGTGCGTAAGGGCTGTCTGCACTGCAGGGCTTGAGAGAGTTTTCATGTAGAGGGTGTGAGGAGTGGAGGGGAGAGAGACATCAGGGTGGTCCATCCACAGAAGGAAGGGACCTCAGAGGTTATGTGACTTGGCCAAGGTCACCTGGGAGATTGGGAGATGAGATTTGAGACCAGGTCTTACTGGGAGACCAGGTAGGAGCAAGTTTCCATAGTTCAGATGAGAGGTGATAAAATCCTGAACTAAAAGTGGTGCCTATGTGAGTTAAGAGAAGGAGGTGGATGTAAAAACAGCGCAATGTGACAACTGATAGGATGTGTGGGATGAGGGAGTGTGAGAAGTCAAGGATGACACCAGACTTGTGAACCCAGAAGATGCAAATATATTGGTGCCCTCAATAGAAATAAGGACATTTGGAAGAAGTTTGGGAGGAAAGATAATGAATTCTGTTTGGGGCATGTTGAGATAGTGACTAAATGAGATGACGGAGGTGCAGAGTCCATATTCCACTTCACAGAAGGGGCATGGCTATGAATTTAACCCATGTGTTCTGATTCCCAGGCCAGAGCCATGTCTCTTGGAGCCTGTCATGACTAGAGTCAGGGCTTCCATATAAAGTTCTGAGTTTCTTCTCTGTGATCCTGGAAGTGTCTGAGGCTGCTCCCGAGTTGTTGACAACCTCTCATGTAAGGAGGTTGGGATAATACCCACCTAACATGTGGATGTATAGCTTAGTGAATTTAGATACTGAAAATTAAGAATATTTTCCCTCTTAACTACTTTCTTCTCTCCCAGCTGTGCCTTCTCAGAGCTCTGTCCTTCTTCCAAAACAGAGCATAATGGAAGAAGAGGAAGTAATGATCCCTGGGCTCCTAGCAGCCAGGTCTCTGGTAAGTTGGGGGTTTTTCCTCTCCAGAAATATTCTCAGTTCTCAGAGTATGGATGCTTTTTTGTTCTGTTCTCCTTGGTCTTTCCTGTCCATCCAAATTCTGTACAGAGACCTGAACCCTAATTGCTTTCTCTAAGAAGACAGCGTATTTAGGCAAATGAAGTAGTTATTAGATTGCAAGAGTTGGAAGGGATGTTAGAGATTATCTAGTACAACCTCCTTATTTGGACCCTTGACGTGAAGTAATGGGCTCAGGATTTCCAGAGTTTGAATTTGGAGTAGGTTTCTCAATCTCCAGTTCTGTACTTTTCCCACTAAACTACAGAACTCTGTAGAAAATGCCGGTCATTGTCTCCTTCGGTGTTCTTCTCGGGTATCTCTCTCCTCTCTACATAAGTGGGTTATTCATTGAAGCATTATAGCAGAGCAGAAAGAGGGCTGGATTTGGAGTGAGCAAAGACCTAGACTTGCCATTGGCTTCATTTGACTTTTTGGATTATGTTTGCCCATTTGTAAAATAGGGATAATACTATTCCTAATGCTTACAGTACTTGGTTCACCCCATTAATATAAAGCCTCCTGAAGTGGTCACATCAGTCAGATTCATATTGCATATTTCCGTTGTGCTGGAACCAGTTACCATATCCTACGTAATTATAACTTTGAATAGTATAGATCTTCATACAAGTTCAGAGTATTCATTACTTACACTAATGGGCCTAGCTGTTTATCAAAAATCTGTGATTTTATCTCTGTGGGTACTTTATGATACAGAATAAATACTTAATAAATGCTTGTTTCCTTTCTTCCATGGAAAACTGCTCCTCTTTATAACTTAGTAGGTAGTCTTTGAAAATTGCTGAACTCTGATATCTCCTCACCCTCTGACCTACTTGATAATCAAATGAGTGAATCTATAATATTTTGTAAAATTTAAAGCGCTAACTAAATGTCAAATTGTACTACCATCTTTCAGTCATACCTACCATTTTCTTATTTTGACCTAAATGTTTTGAGGGAAACAAACCTAAGAATTCGAAGACCCACTCTTTGCCTTCAAAGAGCCATATTGGTGAGGGAAGACATACACACAAAAAATTATCATTGAGCAAAAAGCTAACTTATATTGATTCTATATCCATAAAATCTTTTGTATTCTCACCTTGTCTCCACTCACAGTGCTACTGCTTTGTATCTTAACTCGGGCCCTTATCACCTTAACTGTTTCAGTAGTCTCCTAATTAGTCTTTCAGCCTTTGAACTGGAGTTTAAAAGAGGTGATCAAGCTCTCTCTTCTACCCTCATCTTTAGCAGGAAATACTTTCTAAATGGGTGACTTTTGTGGTAAGTCAATGACCACACCACAGAAATAAAAGTCAGGGGGCACAGTGTGTAAAATGCTAGGCCTGGAGTCAGGAAGACCTGAGTTCAAAAAAAGTTTTAAATACTTAAAAGCTGTGTGACCCTAGGCAAATCACTTCACTTTGGTCTGCCTCGGATTCCTCAACTGTAAAATGAGGATAATAACTACTACCTCCCAGGGTTGTGGTGAGGATCAAATGAAATGATGTTTATAAAGGAATTAGCACAGTACCTGGCACAGTGTAGGAGCTTAATAAATACCCATTCTCCCTCATTCCCTATTGGAAGCTAGATTTATTTGATTGATAGAGATTCAGCTGGCTGGTCCTTAATCTCGTGGCAGTGAAGCCCTCAGGTAATTCTAATAAGGGGTGTGGTCCTGCAGGCCTGCAAGGATCTCTGGCCTTGGGCCCAGTACAGAATCTAGTAGTTTTAAGCACCAGTAGCTGGTGCTTAAAATGAAGAAGAAAGCATGAAGAAAGCAAAAGTCTGGGCTTTTACTTACGTGAAGAAAGAGGTCTCACTTCCTCACATGAGTTGTGTTGTTCTTAATAAACTTTACCCATTTTTAATATCTATACTTTGGAGCTCAGGAAGTCAGAGACCAAAGTTAAATTTTAACTTTATCAGTTCCAAGTTTTTGTTTTCCAAGACAAGGCCTAAATGTTTAAAGAGACATTGAGATCTGCCCTCTGCCTCAGGATGCCATGGAGGAGTTTCTATATAGTGCTCCCTCTCTTTGGCTCATAGCTTTTTTGGAGGCAGGTACCAAGGTTGGGGTTCAGCCTTAGCAATGCAAAGTTAATGACAAGGGATCTCTGAGGTATTTTAACAAAACCAAGGTTCTACAAAGGGTATATGTATGTGTTTATACAGGTGTGCATATGTTTGTTTTCTTTTTTTAAAACATTATTTCCTAATTAAAGTCATTCAAATAATAAAAACACATTTACAAATGGGAAAAGCATAGAGAAGTTCATTGGTACAATATTTAGGTAATGTCTAGTTTGATGATTGGTAATAAAATATGTTTCAAGTAAGAGAAGCCTGCAGACCTGCTTCTCTTCCACTTTGAGCTCAAATTATTTAATAGAAAAGCACAGAAGAGATCTTAACAAAGAACAAAGCAGGCACAGGGATTTTTATACACAAGATGGTTCCTTCTGGTGGTGGTGTTGTGGGGGTTGGGTCTCCCTAGAGTAGAATGTTTTCCCTTCCATCGCCCAAAAGGAGGGGGAAAGGAAAGAAAATCGATTCTAAACAAAGACAGACATTGACCACTACTGATTTACTTATGGCCCCACTATTGATTTATTTAGTATTCTGCTAATGCAGGTATATATGTATACTTCCTAGAAAGTATCTATGTTTCCTAATGAGGGGGAACAACCTTTATACTTACAAGTCATTTAGTAATTCTTTAGCTATGTAGGAAGAGCCCTTGAGTAGCCTTTCCCTCAAGTGATTGTCTTTAAAAGGGAGAGGAAAATAACAGAATTTACTGAGAAAAGGTTTGGAAATGCTTCATTTGTCCAACTGATTCAATAGTTGAATTAATTGGAAGAAACATTATACAGGAATAATGTCAGGAATAGTATACTTTTCATTGCTTCTTTTAAGGAAAGGAATAATTATAATTAATACAAAGGATTTTCCTTTATAGCTATCTGCAACACCTCTATCAGTAGTTCTACATTCTAGCCAAACTGCAACACAAGCTGTTCACTGAAGCCAGATGCAGTCTGAAGAAGGGGCCAGTTAGGAAAAATGCTGGATTGGTACAGTATTGATTGAATGTGAGGAGGGGTGGCTACAAGATTTTGCATTAACTTTTTTTTTTTTATATGAAGCAATTGGAGTTAAGTGACACTGCCCAGAGTCACACAGCTAGTGAGTGTTTTGTGTCTGAGGTCAGATTTGAACTGAGGTCCTTCTGATTCCAGGGCCAGTGCTCTATCCACTGATCCACCTAACTGCCTGGCTACAAGATTTTGAAGCTTGGTGATTGGGGTAATGCCTTTGACAGGAATAGGGATATTTGGATGAGGGTGATTTAGGAGGAAAGATAATGAATTGTTTTTAGAATTATTCAGTTTGGTATATCCGTGTGACATCCAGCAGAGCTGTTCAGTCAATTGATTACAAAAGACTAGAGTCTGAGAGAGGGTTTTGGGCTGGCTGTATAGATTTGAGAGAATAAAAATATAAATTTACAGATGATAAATAACCAAAAGGGAGTTGATACCCAAGGTAAATAAGGAATAGTAATAGAGCACCTTGTTGCCTTTGATTACTTCAAGTCACCTGACTTAGATAAGCTAAATCCTTGAGTCCTTTAAAAGAATTGGCAGATACGATTTCTAAGCCACTATCAGTTATCACTGACATCACTGTATAATGTGTGAAGGGGAGAAATGTGAAATGGCTAGAACTGATAACTTGGATTCATATTGTGAAGAGGGTTAAATACCAAGTT